CCCTAGGCAATTTCGTCCCCGAAACTAAAGCATATCTCAAAGTGTGAACAGATGCGGATACTGCTCCTGCATCGTCGTTTCAAGCTCTCATGTCGCTTCCTCAACTCCATGGTGTTGCCACAACACTTTCACTAACGGGATCTCACGATGACGCTGACTCTTTATTTTCTGATCAAGAATCTGAATTGGTGCCTCCTCGTACGACGCGTCATACTGTATTGGAATGTCAAACCACTGCACTACAGCTTCCGGCTTAGGTTGACTTTTCAAAGCATGGAGACATGAAACACGTCATGCACGTGAGATAATTCAGGCAGTAAAGCCAACCGATAAGCCACCACTCTGATTCGTTGCACGATCGGGAATGATCCTACATACCTTGGTGCAAGTTTCCCTTTTACACCAAACCGAACAACTCCCTTGTGTGGGGAAACCTTCAGCAAGACAAAGTCGCCTTCTCGAAATTCTAAAGGCCTACGCCTTCTGTCAGCATAACTTTTCTGACGACTTTAAGCTGTCAACAGTCATTCCCGAATCACAGCTATCTTCTCATTATTCTCTTGAATCACTTCCGGTCCAATGCTCAGTCGATCCTCTGGTTCCAACCAACACACAGGTGACCTACAAGGACGACCATACAGAGCTTCAAACGGTGCCGTTCCAATATTGGCCTGATAGCTGTTGTTGTACGCAAATTCAGTAAGATACAGATATATCTTCCAGTTTCCACCAAAATCCAGACTACAAGCACGAAGCATATTCTCTAGAATCTGAATTACTCTTTCAGATTGCCCATCAGTCTGAGGATGAAATGATGTGCTGAAGTTCAAGTCTGTTCCCATGGCTTCCTGGAAACTCCTCCAACACGTTGCATTAAAATGCTTGTCACGATCTGACGTGATAGACAATGGCACTCCGTGTAGCCTCACGATGTGCTCCAGGTACAATTCTGACAGAATCTTCTGAGAATACGTCACACAGAACGGTATGAAGTGCGCGGACTTCGTTAGCCTGTCCACCACCACCCAGATGGCATCGTGCTTCAACTCAGTTCTCGGTAGCCCCATCAAAAAATTCATGGTGATGTGCTCCCATTTCCATCCAGGGACAAGAAGAGGTTGCAACTCTCCCGCTGGCTTCTGATACTCAGCTTTAATCCGGAGGTAAGTCACACATTCCGAGACATACTCATGAACGTCCCTTTTCATGTCTCTCCACCAGTACTGTCTTTTTAGGTCCTGGTACATCTTTGTACTTCCCAGATGAATAGCATACCTCGATTTATGTGCCTCTTGTAGAATCATCTTCTTTACCTCACCCGCCTTAGGAACAGCAAGGCGGTTGCGGAAATACAAGGCTCCATCCTCTCGGATTCTCCAATCCTCGAATCGCTCTCCATTCTGGATCCCAATCCAAATTCCTTAGAGGTGTGGATTCTGCCATTGATTCTACTTAACCCGTTGCACAATATCCGGTGTAGAGACCAGATTATACACCATAGCCTGGTTATAATCTTCATAGAACTGGAGATCATACTCACTCACCATTTTAGTCATTTTCTAATCTTCCAAAGCTAATGACGCCAGAGTCCCTGTCGTCTTCCTACTAAGGGCATCAGCCACCACATTAGCTTTTCCAGGATGATATTGCAAAGTGAAGTCGTAATCTTCCATATACTCCACCCATCTCCTTTGCCTGAGATTCAAGTCTTTCTGGGTAAACAAGTACTTCAGACTTTTATGGTTAGAGAAAACCTGAAACTTTGCTCCATAGAGATAACATCTCCATATCTTCAGACCAAAGATTACCGTTGCCAGCTCTAAATCATGAGTGGGGTAATTCCGTTCATGTGGTCTTAGTTGGCGAGATGCGTACGCTACCACGCGTCCCCCTTGCATTAAGACACAGCCAAGTCTACTCCCCGAGGCGTCAGAATACACCTCATATGGTTCCTCACTATCAGGAATAGTCAAGACTGGTGCACTTGTCAATCTGACCTTTAATTCCTAAAAAGCATTTTGCACATTCGGCGTCCCACTGGAATCTGACTTCTTTCTTGGTCAACCGAGTCGTCGATGCAGCAATACTCGAGAAGTCTTTCACGAAACACCGATAGTACCCTGCAAGTCTGAGGAAACTGCGAATCTCCGCTACATTCTTCGGCCTTTCCCACTGTAGCACAGTCTCGATCTTAGAAGGATCAACAGAGATTCCTTGTCCTGAAATTGCGTGCCCAAAGAACTTCACTTCTGTCAGCCAGAAGTCATATTTCTCCTTCTTCGCATACAACTGGTGTTCACGAAGAGTTTGAAGAACAATTCTCAAGTGCTGCTCATGTTCTTCCCAAGTCTTCGAGTAAACCAGTATGTCGTCAATGAAGATGATCACGAATCGATCCAGGTATGACCGGAAAACATGGTTCATTAGATCCATGAATGTAGCCGGGGCATTAGTTAACCCAAACGGCATTACTAGAAACTCAAAGTGTCCATATCGAGTTCTGAAAGCAGTCATCAGAATGTCTTCCTCCTTGATTTTCAGCTGATGGTACCCAGATCTCAAATCAATCTTAGAGTAGAACTGTGATCCACCCAACTGATCGAATAACTCATCGATCCTCGGCAGTGGGTATTTGTTCTTCACAGTCACCCTGTTCAATTGACGATAGTCAATGCACAACCGAAAAGATCCGTCATGCTTCTTCACAAATAGCACCAGTGCACCCCAAGGGGAAGTACTATTCTGGATATACCCCTTTTCTGCCAGCTCCTCAAGCTGCGTTCTTAATTCCTTCATTTCTGCCGGAGCCATCCGGTATGGAGGAATGGAAATAGGTGTCGTTCCCGAAACCAAATCAATACAGAATTCAATCTCCCAATCTGGCGGTAAACCAGGTAGCTCATCATGAAATACATCTGTAAACTCATCCACTACAGGGGTTCCCGCACTATCTCCAATTACCTCAGGTTCACCTTCCAAAGCAAGAAGGGAGGAAAAACATGCCAAGTTCCTCCGTCCCCCCACGCTGTACTTCAACAATCGTTCCCTCAGGACTGGGTTCATATCCGCCTGATAAGAAATCACTGTTCTGAAATTCGTCACCAAAGTTACTTTACTACGGTAGCAATCAACAATCGCACCGTACCTTAACAGCCAATCCATTCCGAGTACCACGTCAAACAGGCTCATCGAAAGGATAATTAAATCTGCTCTCAATCGCTCACCACCAATCGTGATTTCACACAATTTACACATACTCATTACCTCCACACATCCCAGTGGAGAGTTCAAAGTCATCGGGACCTCTAAATTCTCAGATTTTAGTTTCAAGGTCCGTACAAAAGAACTTGATATCAACGTGTGTGGCACATGTATCAAACAACACGTGAGTAAAGGAGTGAGAGATTAGAATTGTACCCTCAACCACCGCGTTGCTGGTCTGACCTCCAGAACTGCCTCCTGCCAGGGCATAAGCTTGTCCTTGTACTTTTCCTTTCCCTCTATCACCAACATTAGGCCGTTGGGTCGCTGGCCTATACTGTTGCAGCGGAGGTGGTTGTACAGGTCTCGGCGCTTGAGGCCGGAATTGTGTATACGGAGGTGGTTGATAAGTCGGCACAGGAGGGTATGGCATCTGCTGTGGCTGATATGGCGGCATATACTGTGGTGGCCCCTCTTGACTGTATGAAGCGTCACTTTAGGCTTGTTAAGCCGGCGGTCGATTAGGACAATTCCTCCTAATATGGCCCACCTGCCCACAATGGTGACACTTGGGTCCGTATGGAGCACTTCTGTCACTTCCTAACGAACTACTGCCACCGCTAATCATTCCCCCACCAGGCTGTCCCTGGTTGCGGTTCCTTTTACCACTCCGCTGTGGCCCGCTGGAAGCGGATGGTCCGTCATAAGCTGAAATTCACCCCTCTTGTTCTTTGCTTTGGTGGTAAGCTATGTTATCCTGCTCCACCTTAGTAGCAGCAGCCACCAAATCCCAGAAATTTTGAATCCTTAAAGCCACCAATGACCTCCTCATAGAATTCTTGAGACCCTTCTCAAACTTAAGACATCTAAGGTGTTCAGATTCCACCAAAAATGGCGCAAACCGGGATATGTCAGTAAACTTGGCCTTATACTCCCTTACAGACATGTCACCTTACAGTAGAGACATGAATTCCAACGCCTTTTCATCCCTATAACTCTGAAGGAAGTACTGCTCATTGAACAGTGTCTCAAACTGCTCCCAGGTTAGTCCTGCAACATATATTCTTCTCTTGACCTATTTCCACCAAGTATTCGCTAAGCCCTCCATCTTGTATACCGTAAATTCCACCCAGTATTCATCTGGAACTCCTATAGTACTCAAATGCTTGACTATGGAGTCTAACCAGAACTCTGCCTCCTGGGGTCCTCCCTCACTATTAAACGAGGCGTTAGGCGCACGTCTAAATTCCCGGAAGTAACCATGCTTCCTATCCTCAACCGGCCACTCGTTTTGAGCTGTAGTGGCCATGCCTTAAAAGGCAGCATACATGGCATCCAGAAATCCCTGATTTTGTTGTGCCGGTTGATTAGCTGGCCTACGACGAGGCACCATTTCCTTTAACTAAAATAACACTAGACTGTTCAGTGGATTACATATGTCACACATGTATGTACAATCCTGGGATTTCTTAACCTAGGACTCTGATACCACTCTTGTCACGCCCCCCAAACGGGGTGGGTGACGTGGAGCTCGAATAGGGATTAACAAAGCAGATTTCCAGACGAGCCCTACTCAGCTGCATTAAAATATAAATTAATTACTACAGAATCTCGAGCCTCTGACAACACACAGGGCTCCACCCCACAGGACATACAGTATCGTATATACATCAACATGTAAATAATCATTACAACAGACATCAACCACAGTCTAGTTAATCCAAATATTTCAAGAGTTTGCAAGATTCTCAATTCCTTACATTTGTCCAAGAGGATAACCACAATCCTCACTTGATTCCAACAGCAGCACAACTCAGCTACTCCGTAGTAAATATCCAGCTACTGTGCACCGCTCCTAGAATCTCCTAGGAGGGGTTTAATACATTTAAAACATAAAACATGAGCGAAAGGCCTAGTAGGATATAATTTGAAATAAACTTTATAAATAAATGAATAATAAGTGAGCGAGGGAATAGATAAATGAATAACTAAATAAAATAAGACATTCAGTTCCAACAGACAGCCGGAACCTCACATCCTTTTTCTCAAGAAATATGACTGAAAATAACCGTTTTACAGGCTTCAGCAAGTAATTAGTACAAATTACTTACCTAACCAACTGCCTCGCCTACCCGGACCGAGTTCGGGTTCTGCCCCCCAGGACGCACTATCTCCATCCTATCTAGGCTTATAGCAATAGACTCTCTTACCAGTTCACAAGATCTCTTTGCTTAAGAACTCATTCATTAACTTTCTACAATCGTAATTATGACCCCACGAACTACTCAAGCCGCGGGCCCCATGACTGGGCAAGCCATAAGGTTCCATGACTGGACAAGCTATGGATTACATGGACAGGACAAGCCATGGATTCCATAAACTCCACAAGCCATGGTTTTCAAAGAGTTTTTCTTTCGCAAATCAACCTCTTTCTTTAAAACATTTCCAAGGCCAAAATCTTTTTGAAAACAGGCTCATAAGGAAAAGGGATAGAAATCCTACCTCGCATTACCAAACCTGGGACTACCATTACCTTTTTTGGCTTCCACTTCCTCAAGCCCCTTCAGTCTGAATCCTCAGCGATCACTAATGCAAGACAACACTTTAGGATTAATTCTCATTCCTAAAGCAATCCAAATCTCAATTTCCAACCAAGATTTCCTATTAGTGTGCCCTAATCCATTTTCATATTTCAAATTATCATTCCAAGGGTTTTCAATCTCAAAACAAGGATTAAAGATGCTAATCCATTTATCTCAAGTCCCTAAATGAAGCTAATTTGGGTTCTCCCTGAAAACATGGGTCAAAACAGCAATTTCAGGCCAAACAGGGTCAAACCCGTGTGCACCGGTCGACCAGTGACAGAGCAGTGCAACACTACCGGTCGACCGGTAGTGTGCACACTGGTCGACCGAACCGTTTGACTGCTCAACCTGCAATCCGGTCGACTGCATAGGTCGACCGGTTTCCATGTGATCCGGTCGACCGCACAGGTCGACCGGTGGAATCAGCTGTGCGAGAGAAGCTCATGGAAATCAGTCCAAAAACCTGTAAATCCAGTCCCAAATCTAAATATTTTAAAGGAAAACCAATATATCTGGGTTCTAGGTCCTAAAACAAGTCCAAAGAACCCAAGATCTCCAATTTCTACCCTAGTTTTACTCAAAAACTATCAAAGTCCGGTTTGAACCGAAAATAAGTTTTGAAATTCAAAAACTTGAGATTCAAGAGAGGTTCTTTCAGTAATCTTACCTCGAATCCTTCTCTTGACATTGAAAACTTTCTTTAAATCTTTCCTTGGTTCAATATCCGTTTGATTTGGGACAAAAATGAGAGAGAGAGAGAGAGGGAGAGAAAGAGAGAGAGTGAGAGTGAAGGAGAGAGAGAAAGTGCACGAGAAGGAAAAGGAAAGAAAGAAAAAGAAAAGAAAAGGACATGTGTACAATATTTTAAAAGAGCAGTCCAGAAATGTGCCCATACACACTTCTGGGTTTAAATAAATTACTGAGAATAATTTAAATACCTTGGAACTATTTAAACTCATACGTGTCAGAAACATTTATTAATTAATACTCAATTAATAATCCAGATTAGGCACACTAATAATCTCAATTACCTTAATTAATCTCAATTAATTCCTCAGGGTGTTACAATATCACTTTAGATAATGCTGCTTCGAATGATGTCTCATGGATGCATTGTAAAACCAATTGAACTTGCATGGTTTGTTGCCTTTTCATGGTGAATTCTTTCATTTGAGATGTTGTGCACATATACTTAACCTTGTTGTGCAAGATGGCTTGAAAAGTACTGATAAGTCGGTTGAGAAGATTCATGGTAGTATTAAATATGTTAAAGGATCACAACAAAGGAAGTAAAAGTTTTTAGAATGTGTTAAGTTGGTATCGATGGGAAGCAAAAAAGGATTGTGTCAAGATGTGGTTACTAGATGGAATTCAACTTACCTTATGCTTGAAAGTGCTATCTTTTATAACATGCTTTCCAACATTTGAAATTGAGTTATTCTAACTATAAGAATTGTCCCAACTCCGATGAGTGGAAAAGAGTTGAGAAAATATCCAAGTTTTTGAAAGTCTTCTATGATGCCACACTTCTGTTTTCTGACACAAGATATCCCACAACAAGCTTGTATTTCCTAGCAATTATGGAATGTTACATAACCCTGAAAAATGCTGCCCAAGGTGGAGATGAGTACTTGAAGTCCATAACTATGCATATGTGGCCCAAATTTCAAAAATATTAGTCACAATTCAATCCCATTTTAGGCATTGCACTTGTGTTTGATCCTCGGTGTAAGATGTAGTTTATTGACTTTTGCTACAACAAAGCTTATGGGCATAACTCTGAGGAGTTGTTTTCTTTACATGAGAAGTTGGAATCCCTTTTTGATGAGTATGTTTTGAAGCTTGATCATTATGCCTCACCATCCACTTGTAAGAAAAAGGATAAGGGTAAAGCACCGCATGGAATGGAAGTAGATGAGTCAGATTTGTTGAAGGTAATATTTATTTTTCTTATATATTTACATTCTTTTACATAGTAATATTTATCTTAGTTACTAATGTTTTATATATTTTTTTTCAAGAATTTGATGATGTTTCAAGTGATTTGTTTTATGCTTCAAACCAAAAATCACAGTTAAAATTGTCCCTAGAATGAAACGGAGTTATTAGTAGGATATTCTCTCTTATTGGAAGACAAATCAATGCCGCTACCTAATTTTTGTTGCCATGGCTCGTGATATATTATGCATTCCTATATCAACAGCTACTTCAGAGGCTGCATTTAGTATTGGTGGTCGTGTACTTGATCAGTTCCGTAGCTCTCTGAAACATAATATTGTTGAAGCAATTGTGTGTACAAGGGATTGGTTGTATGGAAATGAAGGTATATTCTTCAAGTTCTTCATTGTTCGGTTACTTAAATATTGTAACTCTCAGTCTCATAAATGCTAATCAGTTAAACTCTTTTTTCTAGATGGATTCAAAGTAATTCATCAAGATATGGAAGACCTTATCAAGAATGCCGTGGATCTTAACATACATGAAGAATAAGTTGTCAACCAAGCTTCTAAC